GAATTTCAGTTACACCTAGAAAGCTGTGATTTATCAATATAATTAATTTTGCTTGAAGTCTTTACTGTGTCAATACCTTTGCCAAGGCAAGTGTGTCTAGAATAGTAACTTTTTAATTCCAACAAATGCTAGTAAGATAGTAAAACAGCCAGCAGTCCAGTCACAAAAAACATTAATTTTGTTTGACAAAACCATGTTTTCTCTTGGATAAAACATTTATTTGCCTAATATTAGGTAGATATCCAGTTTAATATTTAGCCAAATATCAACTGTCACCTAGAGTATGTCTTTCTTACATAGGTTTGGACAGTTCAGCATTGTCTTCCTGAGAAAAAGCAAGCCAGTACCTGTTCCATTTATTGCAGGTCATTAAAGATCAGTCAAGGGAACTGAAGGATTCCTGTTGCTATCATTGAATTTTTTAATGAGATCTTTCATAGAGAAGAATAAAGTTTCCTTTCTACATTGTTCTTTGAAGGAAAGAAGATTTTATATGACATTGTTGCATTTGCCAAAGAAAGTGTCAACTCTCATGTTATCACACTGGGACCTCAGAATTTTCCTGACAAAGACAAGGAACCATGGCTTGTGGATTTCTTTGCACCGGTAAATATTTAGTATCTATATTTCCCTTCTTCTAAAGTCTGTTGTTTAACTATGGAACAAAATAGTAGCGGTATCTTGAAAGTGTCCTTCAGCATCATGAGATGGTATTGTAATTTCTCATTCCTTGGCAGCACTAGTTCCTAGACTGTGTGGGTTTTGTATTTAGTGGAGTCTGTTGTCAAAGCAGCACATTATTCATCTCAAGCAGCTTACATTCTCCTGAGAGCCAACTGCGGGGAAAGCAATTGCGCTTACTTGCATTTTGTTTTTTAGTGGTGTCCTCCCTGTCGAGCTTTGTTACCAGAGCTGAGAAAAGCATCAAAACATCTCTATGGTCAGCTTAAATTTGGAACACTAGACTGTACTGTCCATGAAGGGCTTTGCAACATGGTAAGCTGCAGGAACTAAAAAAAAAAAAAAAAACCCACCCTTTCAAAGAATATTATTTTCTTCTAGTTGGGGGTCGGGGAGTGGGGGCAGACAATGCTTGTTCTTTCATACGACTTTCTTAAAGGGTAGTAAACCAAACAGGACACTGTATCATTATTTTTTTCGAAGGAGCAAACTTTGTAACCACTACAGATAACATTTTAATGCAAAATACAGGTCACGTTTTGCTCTGATTTCATAGTGTTATTGGAAGACTCTGGAAATGTCAGAATTTAATAATTCCTGGTTTTTTAAAGAGAAAAAAAAGAATGCGGACCCAGAAAGTTTTTTCTAGTGTGTATATAAATACATACATGCATGCTTTTTGTTCTTCAGATAGGGGGATAAAAAACAGTAAAACATTTAAAAATGTAAGTTTTACATTGATACACTTTTTGAAGATGTCTGCAAAACCAATTCTAATTCAGTTCACCCTAACTGACTTGGCTTTTTTGTTTTTTAGCACTTAAGAAGTGAAGGTTCAATTTCAAAGTAAAAGAAAGCTTATTACGTATCAGTTTATACTTATTTAAAGATACAGTAATGCACTGAAAAAAAATTTTTTTAAATCTTGTCCAGGTTTCCATGTTTAAATTTGCTTAACTTTTGCTTCAATTAATTTATCATGGTAGAAATCGCTGACATAACTTTTCCTGAATTCCAGAAAATACTACATTTTGACAGCTTTCCTGCAACTACACATTTTATTGTTCACAAGAGCTTTTTATGTTAGAATGTATTTATCTTTAAAATGTGAATGTCTTAAAGCACATGAAAAATGAGCGAAAAAGAACAAGCTTTTAAAAGTTTTATTTAGATGTGTTTACACAGTGAAGAATTCAAATAATGGAAACATCGGTGTTCAATAGTAAACAATACAGTTATTCATACAGTACAAGTGTTTTCACCTGAAAACTGGGAATAGCTTTAAAGTTAAGGCTTAGAAGGCCCATGGATTAATTCCTGTTTTTGTGGAGCATGGCAAAAGAACTGCTGGCTGGCTTTTAAATTCAGAACAAACTATGCCACCTCTGAATACAATTGGCATCTTTTCTGTACTGGTTTGTAATGGTTTCAAACTCCCATCTACATGTAAGTCTGAGCAGTTGTACTGTACAAACTGGATAGGTTAGCAGCTGTGAGCCACCAATACTGATGGCAGTTAAAGGAAAGTACAAGAAACCTAGTAATGCCTTGCAATTTCTTATTGTCTGTTTTGTTAGCATAACATTCGAGCTTACCCAACAACCGTTGTGTTCAATCAGTCTGATGTTCATGAATATGAGGGACATCACTCTGCTGAGCAGATCTTGGAGTTTATAGAGGTATGTAAATTATAACCCTGGAGTTCATAGAGGTATGTAAATTATAATCCTTGTTGCAGTCGTCCTCTGTATGCAGCTCATCCACAAACATGTTCTTTAGTTGGAAGAGTCTAAGATACCACCCCACCCCCCCAAATTAATTAGACAAGTAAGATAAAGATTGAAAAAACCTTGGGCAAGAAAAGTGATCCAGCAGCTGTCAGTCAGGGACTTGACACCTAATGGATTAATTGCCCTACTCTGTCAAGTTATTTCTTTGAGATCATTACCAAATAACTTAAGATCCCTTCCAATCTGCAAAGTAACAGTAATGATTTCTATCTCATAGAGAGGATAAAGTACTTAAAAGTATGAAGTGCTGTAGTGTTAAGGTGGAAATGCCTCACGTACACACCTTGACGTAGGAGGAGGTTCACATTTTTGTCAGTTAGCTTGCTGCCCTCCACGCTTCTCAGTTGCTTCTTGAACTTTCATAACTCAGAGAACTGCAAATCATTGGTACTCATCATTGTTGCTGCCAGACTTCTGGCACCCATCTTTCCTCCAGCATTCAGGTTCTCCCACTTCTAGGTCCACAGGCTATTTTCCACTCTTTGAAGAGACTGTTCATTCTCTCCAGGCAGCCCAGAAAAAGCAGGTTTAAGAGCACACACGCAGGAACAGGTGGAGATCAGTCTTTTTCAGTTGATACTCAGAGGCCCCTAGTGCACCATATGTATTCTTCTGCAACCCAGCCTGAATAGCATGGCTGAGTCTCATAATGCCTCTTCTTGCCAGGTAAGCTGAATTTCTTGCCTTTTGCCTCCTTTTATGGAGAAGAGACAGAAAACCTCCCTTTTGGAGCCTTGGCTATATTTTTTTGATAGCTCTTCTCAGCAAATCAGGCATACGATTGTTAGGTTGAAGGGATGACTCTTGATGTTCCATGCTTTTCAGCAGTGTAGAGTCTTCCCTATCACAGCAGCAAGCAAATTTCACTGAGAGGGACATTCTCAGAATTTGGCACTGTCTGTTTGTATGTGGTGGTACTAGATACAGGCTTACTTCTTGTTGCAAAGTATGTGTCTATAAACTGTCTTTACTTAGGATCTCAGGAATCCCTCGGTGGTCTCCCTAACACCAGAGACATTTGCTGAATTAGTTCAGAGAAGAAAACGAGAGGAAATCTGGATGGTTGACTTCTACGCTCCGTGGTGTGGACCTTGTCAGGCTTTAATGCCAGAATGGAAAAAAATGGCCAGGGTAAATGACATTCAAACATTCTTTCTGCTTTTGTGTCCTGTTCCATGGAGTTACTGAGACAGTACAACTGCTGTCATAGAGATTTGTCAGCCAAGAAAGTCTAGTGATTAATAGTGCAGGCAAACCAAGGAATTCCTACCTGACAGTTTTATATTGTTTCAAATACAAAGTTTTTCTTTGTGGGGTTTTTTTTTTTTTTTAAAGATTCAGTACATTGGTACAGTAATCCAGTTTCTCCTGTTGATACAAGTGTGTTTTCCAAGATCTAAGAAACTTTAGAGTAACTAATTTTCCTTGATGCTTAGTGCTTTATATAGACAACAGCTCTGCATTTGTTTAAAACAAAATATGAAAAAAAGATATATCCATAAATTAGATAAGAATTGGTTGAAATAATTTGCCACTTTATTATCAGTATTCTTTATGATCATTTGTCATCTTTAAGATAGCACTTAAACCTTGGTGAAACGTCTGACTTGAATTTAAGATTAAAGGAGTTCAATCATAGAATCGTTTAGGTTGGAAAAGACCTTTAAGATCATCCAGTCCAACCATTAACCTACACTACCAAGTCCACACTAAACCAATCAAGGGTAGAGTAGACTAAACCATGTCCCAAAGTGCCACATCTACCTGTTTTTTGAACACTTCCAGGGATGGTGACTCCACCACCTCTCTGGGCAGCCTGTTCCAATTCTTGACTACCCTTTCTGTGAAAAAATTTTTCCTAATATCCAACGTAAACCTCCCCTGGTGCAGTTTGAGCCCATTTCCTCTCGTCCTATCTCTAACTACTTGGGAGAAGAGCCCAACACCCACCTCACTACAACCTCCTTTCAGGCAGTTGTAGAGAGCGATAAGGTCTCCCCTCAGCCTCCTCTTCTCCAGGCTAAACAACCCCAGTTCCTTCAGCCGCTCCTCATAAGGCCTGTGCTCCAGACCCTTCACCAGCCTTGTTGCCCTTCTCTGAACACACTCCAGCACCTCAATGTCTTTCTTGTATTGAGAGGCCCAAAACTTACCCATCTTAATTATTTCCTATATTAGGAAGGTTTTTTCTAAGATCTTGTTTTCTTCAGTAAAAGTAAATAAATGTTAAATACCATATACTTTGAGGCTGATTGTCAGTTAGCTGAATTACACATGCTTCAATATGGAATTGTTGGGATTGGGGAGGGTGGTTTTGTTTTGCAAGGTCATCACAGTGTTCTCATTTGCAAAGTTAATATTACTTTAGTGACAACCATCTGGGTTTTCCTGGACATGTTTCCAGGAATTTGAACTAGAAACTTTGGGCAAAAAAAATAGTGCTTTGGAAACAAGTCCATGACTTTCAGACATTTAGAACTCACCTAGACTAGGAGTTCTAGCCAGGATTCTATATTCTGGTCAAATGTCTGTGAAGTATTATTAGCTCTATAGTACACATTCAGTAGTCATCAGCTTCCCTGCCCATGCCAGGTGATTTGGGCCTTTGCAACAAATACATTGTGTTCAAGACAGGCCAACTGTGCAAGCGTGATAGCATATCTGCACTATACCAGGATCCTAATTACTCATAATTACTGAGTCTATGATATGAAACATGGTAATATGGTAGCCCTTATACTAAATAACCACACTCCTATGTACCTTTGAGGCAAGGTAGGAGCCATGTGCATGCAGCTTATACTAAAATATATGTGCATGATGGGAATGTAGCTGGGTGGCTAGCTCCCATTAGATACCAGTGACCCATTTACAGGAAAGAAGAAAGCTTTTTGATGATCTCGGTTTGTTTTGTTGCTTTTTTTTCCCCCCCAACTAAGTGATTAAGACTTAAATTCTGAAGTATTACCAAAACTGTAGTATTATTGATTAGGATATTTGATTGTAGGTTTTCTTCTTTTTTCAGATGTTGAATGGATTAATCAATGTAGGCAGTGTGGACTGTCAAAAATATTACTCTTTCTGTCACCAAGAAAGTGTTCGGGGATATCCTGAAATAAGACTCTTCCCTCAAAAATCAAACGCAGCTCATCAATATTAGTAAGTAGTTTACTTCAGTTTGGGAAGCGTTAGATGATGTGGAACAAGATGAATATACATCTCCTGTTGTGTAGAAAAGGTTCATCATAGCTATTGAAGTAGGCTATTACGATACTACTGTCCTAGATGTTACTGACTTTGTTACTTCAAACCAGTGCCATTTTATTTTGCTGTTTCATTTCAGTAATTTGAACTGAGACTGCCTCAGGAATCTTAATTTTTATTTCTTGTTCTTTATTGATTGCCAGTTTTCTAACTTTAATTGCCTGTTGAAGTAGATTATTTAAATCATATAATATAGAAATACTAGTAGGCCTTGTAGTAGTAGATTGGAGCTTTATCTTTAGAGAACAGAGTGATGTAGCCATCTGATCATCCTCCCTGCCAACAGTCTGTTAGCACTGTTGCAAAAACTTTGTTGTATATCTAGTCATCCCATTCATTGTATCATCAGTGTGGAAACATTAATCATTTAACAAAACAAAACAAAAAATTCTATGGGGAATGAAATCTGGCCAAAACCAAACAGCCTGTCCCCTCAATTTTACAGTACTGTTTGAAGATCCAGGGATTTCAGGAAGCACATGCATATTTGTAGATAGATAACAGTCTGAAATAGCAGATGTGTTACTTCATTATTTTACAAATTGGAAATCTATTAAATGCTGGCAGATAATAAATTGTAATGCCTCTTCATTGTAGTGCGTAATATTAGACTTCAGTAGCTTTCATCATTGGACTGCTTGCTTTTATTCAGTTCTTCTAGATAAAGTTTCTCTTAAAAGCAGAATTTTTTTTCTTGTTGAAAACAACTAAATTGGAGAATATGACTGTTAAGTGCCAAATTTCTAATCATGAGTCAGCTATTTCCTGAAAAAATAAGGAAATTTGTCTCTTAAACTAAAGATCACCAAAAACTGTCAAGTCAGATTTTTACCAGGTAACTTTATTGAAAAATACTTCATTATAAAGTTGTAAATTAGTGGATATGATTCCTGAATTAATCTTTTTTTCTAACTTGTCACTGGAATTTCAAAACTAAGTAATGCCCTGAAAGTCCAAATAATAAATCCTTGTCCAAGTAACCAGTTTGCCTGGCTTTTCTACTGGCAAATTGAGGGAAATGTGTATAATTAATAACTGTTTATTGTAATGAATGAACATCAATTATAAAATATATTAAGATATTTCAATTCTCATGTTTCTTAGAGCCTGCAGTTTTATCTGGAGTTATTACCAAAGATCCTTCATTCAAAATAGTTCTAGTTATCAAAACTTATGTGCTCCAAACCAAGTTTCTTACTCTCTTGACACTAGAGTTTTCTTCTCTTCTTTTTATCTTCTAGTGCTTAATTCTGTGTCTTTGAATTGTATTAATGAGACTTATTTATTCAGATTTGAAAGCAAGGTAGAAGTATATCCTAAAACACATGCATTTAAGTTCATTATTTCATCATCTCCACTCTACAGAGTGGGGTTTGGTGGTGGTTTGGGCTTTTTTTTCCCCAAATCTAATTCAAACTACTGTGCAACTGGACTTTTGTTTTCTTTTTAATCTTTTTATAGTAGCTACAATGGATGGCACAGAGATTCATATTCACTGAGAGGCTGGGCATTGGGGTAAGTTACTGCATTAAACTTTGTTCACAAGCTGCTTATATAGATTACTTGCTAGGAGAAATTAATACTTAAATGCTATATAAATGAAGAATTTGAAACAGGTATATGTATTGCTTAATTTAAGATGTTAAAGTTTCCATACCTTTTAACTCAAGCTTTTAAAATGTGGAGAAATCATAGAATCATAGAATCGTTTAGGTTGGAAAAGACCTTTAAGATCATCCACTCCAACCGTTAATAGCATACTACTTACTGTCCACCCATTTAGACAGCCGGCTGAACATGAGCCAGCAGTGTGCCCAGGTGGCCAAGAAGGCCAACAGCATCCTGGCTTGTGTCAGGAATAGTGTGTCCAGCAGGAGCAGGGAGGTGATTGTTCCCCTGTACTCGGCGCTGGTGAGGCCACACCTGGAATACTGCGTCCAGTTTTGGGCCCCTCAATACAAGAAAGACATTGAGGTGCTGGAGCGTGTTCAGAGGCGGGCAACAAAGCTGGTGAAGGGTCTGGAGCACAGGCCTTATGAGGAGTGGCTGAAGGAACTGGGGTTGTTTAGCCTGGAGAAGAGGAGGCTGAGGGGAGACCTTATCGCTCTCTACAACTACCTGAAAGGAGGTTGTAGTGATATGGGTGTTGGTCTCTTCTCCCAAGTAGTTAGAAGTAGGATGAAAAGAAATGGGCTCAAGCTGCACCAGGGGAGGTTTAGGTTGGAAATTAGGAAAAATCTCTTTATGGAAAGGGTGGTCAAGAATTGGAACAGGCTGTCCAGAGAGGTGGTGGAGTCACCATCCCTGGAAGTATTCAAAAAACGGGTAGATGTGGCACTTGGGGACATGGTTTAGTCTAGTCTACCCTTGATTGGTTTAGTGTGGACTTGGTAGTGTAGGTTAATGGTTGGACTGGATGATCTTAAAGGTCTTTTCCAACCTAAATGATTCTATGATTTTCTGAAGACCATATTATTATTTTGTCTACCACTTTTAAAAAGTGATTCTTCTATAGTACAAAGTGCGAAGTAGGGATTTCTAGACTACTAATATTCTTAAATTCAGAAATTTGTCTTGTGCTTAAATGGAATTTGGATACATTTAAAGTTTTGAATGGATTATGACTGTTATTCTTCCTTTCCGCAGATACTTACCACAAGTGTCTGTAGACCTGACTCCTCAGAGTTTCACAGAAAAAGTTCTGAATGGAAAAGATCACTGGGTCATTGATTTTTATGCTCCTTGGTGTGGACCTTGCCAAAATTTTGCTCCTGAATTTGAGATCCTTGCAAGGGTAGGTTTTTAACTGTATTAGCAGATTGTTATACTCATAATGGTTAAAATATAATTCATCAGCATTTCATTTCTTGGCAATCATCCAAAACTTGTGTACCCCGCAATAAACCTCCTTCTCATTGAAAGTCCATGCTTTTACGTCCCACTTGCCAGTACGCATTGTCTCTTGCACAGACACACACACACAGACCCTCTTTTGAGACAGATTTCAGTTTATGATGGGGTGACCTTTGGAACTGTGATGTGCTTTGCCCTGAATTCAAGTAGAAGTGCTCCGCTGAATATGCAGTGACTTCCAATACAAAGTTAATAGCCTAAGAAGCAAGCAAGCAACTACTCTGAGATATTTAAAAGATTTGAGCAACATTTTTCATTTACTTTTAGGTGCACTGCTCGCTTATTCAAGTTATTTGCTTACAGTCACCCATGAAAACTTGAAGTTTGTTTCTAATAAACATTTCTTTTTAGACAATTAAAGGAAAAGTAAAAGCTGGAAAAGTAGACTGTCAGACATATGCTCAGACCTGTCAAACTGCTGATATCAGAGCCTACCCTACTGTTAAGTTTTACCCCTACCAAGGAACAAAGGTAAAGTGGCTCCTTTGTGTACACTGGCGAGCGGGTAGTGTTCGTAGATGTATTTCATTTTACATTAAGACTTAAGAGACTATTTCTGTAATACATTAAAGTGTATTATTTAGATATTTGGGAGATACAATAATAATCAATTTCAATAATATTAAAATAGTAGGACAATGATACAGTAATAATGTGTTACTGAAAAATAATAAATTGTAAATTAATAGAACGGTAACTAAAATGTGGCCTTAACCAGAACCAGGGTGTAATTTTGCAGGGGCCTTATGTGACAAAATGTTTTTCAACCTTTACCAATTCCACCACGAGCTACCAAAAGCAGGGAAAGTCCCTCTCTAAATGAAGTGTGAACAACTTCATTTTGGCTAAGGAGAAATATTCTTTCAATGTAATCATAGCATTTCCCTATAATTTTGACTTAGATAATGTATTTTAAGATAGAAATTTGATTAAAAATATTTAGTTGTGTTCTGTCTCAAAACTAAACCATATCAAACCATTTCAGTTATCAGTGTGACCGAGATCAACATTTTCTGTTAACAGATTAGTAGTAATAAATTAAAAAATTGAAAAGTATCCAGGTAGTTCTAGGAAATTGCCTTTATTCTTGTAAAACTATTGAATTTCAAGAATATTACAGTCATCTTTTTAAATTTATTAATGCTGAAGAGAAAGTATTCAATGCATTCTGATAGTTAAGCCACTTCTTTTAATTATGCTTTCCTTTCCTTTTTTTAACTGAATCTCTTATGGGAAGTTCTAGAAATCCTTCCTCACACAATCCCATCAAATTCAATGAGACTTTTCTGTGGTAAAGAGTAATGGCTTTTCAGGTCTCAAAACTAGCAACCCACACTGACAGATTTCATGAACATAGATTACGAAGTGATGGACTTTGTAATTGCCGTCTACATTAAATACTTAGCTGAATAAATATGAGAAAGTTGTAACTATTTCAGGTTTCTTTAAGGATCGAGACAAAATTTGTGTAGTTTTGAAAACTAGCATCTAAGAGTGGTTCTTACTATAGACAATTAGTATTGTTTAAATGGAGACAAAAATATGTCTATGAATCGTAAATCAACCTACTAAAGCAATTGTCTTCCTCCCTGGATTCCTCTTGAATTTTATCTGAAAGTAAGAGATTTTCTATTCAGTGTAGAGCATGGGTAATATATTACAATTTTTTTTTTTAAAGAAAAATGTTCTTGGCGAATATATAGACAGCAGAGATGCAAAAGGTATTGCTGACCTTTTGAATGAAAAATTAGAAGCAATTCAAAATAAAGGAAAAAGAAAAAAATCTAGAAATAAGGTAAGAATACTTATGGTGGGGCATTTTGCAAAAGACATATTATTGTACAAATAGCCCTTTAAAACAATGTTAGTATTTGTTCTTTGTCCATGAAATATTAAATGCCGTATCTTCAAATAGCACCAGGTACATTTTACTTCCGGTCTTGTTTTGGTTACTATTATTTATTCAAACTCAGTTCTCCATGTCCACAGATGTAGCAGAGAATACTGCAGTTGCAGCATCAGTTATAGCAAGACTTAACAGAATTTAGAGATATCCATAGGACAGCTGTGTTAAAGATAGATGGTTGAGATGCACTGTACCCTTAAGAGTAATCCTTAGACTAGATTTAGCAAGCAGGCACCAAATTACAGAGGTTGATTAGTGCAAGATTGGGATTGACGTTTGAATTCAGAAAGAAGGTATTAATACACAGCTGTTAAGAATTCTATTTAAGAAACATTTGTCCAGTTGAAAAATTAGTACCACAAAGAAATGTAACATCACAGAAAAAAAACCCTAATAATCTTCATTTTTATTTGTACTTTCAGAATAACTTAATTGTTTATTTTCTTGTCACTAGGATGAACTCTAAGTGGTACTGGAGGTAGATACAATTCAAAATATTCTGAAGCTGTGAATATAGAAGATGCCACAAGGCAAATACAAGGCTGATTACATTCATGACAGGACAAGAGAGGTGAAAACTAGTTTGCGTTCACGGGCATATGTGACTGTATGAATTCTGTTTAAACTGTGGGGAGATGAAAGCATGAAAGCGTTCTGGTTTTGGTGGAACCATTCAATGTTTCTGCAAATGAATTCTGCATGTCTGTCTTCTGATATACCACCTTCTTCCTAGTCAAACATTGGAGTTGACCAGAAATGTGGACTGTTACCACTCTTGCCTACCCATTTACTAGTTCCTTACATTTTTCTGTCTCTTTTCAAACACTTTTTGAATGTGGCACTCAGCCTATGGCTGAATATGCACTCATACCACTCTGCAATGCAGAAACACAATGAGGGATTGTCTATTTGAAAGACAAACAGTTTTACCTGATGATATTCTGCTTTGGAGTTGCATTATTGTGTAGTCAATTGCTAAGAAATAAAAATCAAGAACTGTTAGCAGGATAGGTTTACTGAATGACATTGCTCCTGCCCTTGAGTGGATTACTATATTGTGGCAGTGGTGGTGGTACCTAGATGAACAGAACTTTGAAGAGATTCTTTGGTTGTTTGGTTTGGGTTTTTTTTATTTTCTTTTTTAAATAATCAAAAAAAATATCAAGGACTTCAAACTCAGTGTTTTCATTGACTTTCAAAATTTAAGTTATGCCATAGAAGCATCTGCGTAAGTTATTAGGTCATAACTTAATAATTGTCTTCTAAAAATATGAATGTATTCTGTGGACATATTTAACCTCTTTTGGTATTACCATTTTTCCTTTCTCTGCAGACATGTTTGGGGGGGGTTGTTTGTTTGGTTTTTATATAATCTTTAGGCAAGCAGGATAGCAAGTGCCTTTTTTAATTTAATAATGAACACTGTACATTGCAATGTTTCCTCATACATCTTAATAGAATTCCCACTCTTTAGAGTAATATTTCTCATAGCTTCTCAATAGACAAGAAAAATTACAGTTTGTTGTCTTCTGTCTGCTGCATTTAGGAGTTCAACATTGAAGTGTTTCATGTTTTCAATAAAACACTGCTGAGAACTTGTCAGATGGACTTTTCTCCCTGTTCTCCATGTATTTAGATTTGGCATGACTAGTCACTATAGTGTGAGTATAAATTTGTAAATACGTTGTTATCTACAAGTAATTTATTTTATAAAGGCAGCAAGAAATAAAAGGAAGAGATTCTAGTAACTTTGAGACATTCAAATGCTTCTTCCCCTATGTTCAGGGTTGCCTCTATCCTTTGTGGTTTTGCAGTGTATTAATCTGAGAAAGAAAATAATGTATTGCATATATTTTTTAATAAAGTAGACCTTTCCACATCCAAATCAAACTTCAAACTCAATCACAGTTAAAAATGAAAATTTTGGTATTTTGTGACTTTAATAGAAATTCTATTTTGGTCAGTTTTTACATGTATGTTTAACTTTAACTGCAGTTCCTACCTTCTTGCTGGAGAATGAGGTCATGGTTACATATTCTAAGATCCTACTGTTAAAAATCTAATCAAAAATAACGTAGAATAGGCATTTGTACAGTTTCTCTCTTAGTCTGTTCCTGTTAGCAGAAATAGTAGAACCAAAAAAAAAAGCAGCCTCCTCCATAAGATGATGGTAACATAAGGACTTTCTGGCTTTACTATGACTCTATTCAAACTTCAGCATTTTGTAGAAAGTTACTTTATCACTTCCTTCTGGTTTTGTCATTTGAGGCATATAGATACTATGAAAAGATGACACTGCTATTCTTATCAAAATATCCTCTACACTATTTTGTCCAGGCTACTGGTTTTGAAACTCATTTAGGCAGCGGGGAAGAAGATTTAGTTTAAATGTCAATGCATTTAATTTTTAACATTTAATTCTGTATCATGATACTCTCTTTGCATCCAATTTTTAAAATTTCTAAGCTAGAGACAAAATGGAGGGGGGGGGGGGGGGAGCGAGCTGTGGATGATGTAGGTTTCTAAGAAGTTTTTCCAAGTTGTCATGGGATTTTTTGCCAGCTGCCTTTTCTGACAGTTTTCAATAAGCAGCTTGGGGGAAATGTAGTGAGTGATAAAATCTTGCCTTTATTTCTATCCATACAAAAAAATAAGTAAAACCTTTTATACATAGTTGTATCTCCAACCTTCTCTAAGGACAAACTCACATATTTAGATGATCCAATTTTTACTAGTCAAGGGTTTAAACTCATTATTCAAGACACTTTTGGAGCAGCACTATTTTTAAATAAGAACATCTTGAATCATGGAGGTGTCAGCATTGCCTCATTCTTCAGAAATCAAATTATTAAAAAAAAAAAAACCCAAAACACACCAAACCACAAAAACCACACATAACAGTAAAAAAAAAATCTTCTCAAAATGCAATGAAGAATTGTATTGGTCAACAAATATTTTGAAATATACAAAAATGCCAAACATAGTTAAAAACAAATTATAGTCATATTTTAGTAACCATTTTGATACGTAAAGTTCATTTTGTATTTTAAAAGAACCTTCAAATTCACATATCCAAGCAATAAACCAAGGAGAAGATGAATTCAAAACAGTACATGAATGAATGTGCTGATTTTAAATAGTGTCCCACCACTCAGTCCCCTTCTCCCCTCCCAAGAGGAAATTTCAATTTTACTCTCATTGTATGCCTAAGGTTGTTCCACTTCTCCCTGTAGCTACCTGTAGATAGTGTTTATTATCCCTTATTCTTCACTCCTCTCCTAGCACCACTCTAGTGTGTTCAACTGCGTCGACAAGTGCGATGACCTGTGGGTTTTGACCGAATGCCACAAAACATCTCAATCAAGTCACAGCAGGGCACGAGCACTCGCCATGGCTTCTGTTGCTTAGGACTTGCCAGGGTATTAAGTAAACATTGGCCGCTTTGCCACATTTCTCAAATTACAAGCAGCAGACCACGAGGCTGGGCTTGTACCTTTTCCTTCTCATGTAACTACACATGCACAAAGAAAGGGCAAAACATAATAAAACACAAAAATATGTGTATGCTGTATAATAGGTGGCATAGTGGAGGCCTAATGGCTTTTAAATTTCTCGCTGGCGTCCTATTTCGTTTTTATTAAAAGAAGGACTTCTATGGCTGTTTAGTGTCACTGAACTGATTAGCTATCATGCTTTATACTAAATCAACAAAATTCCCAAGACAGATTTGGCTCCTTTAGTTTCTACTGCTGCTAAAAGGCATAAAAATAGAATAGAGAGAATATAGCAAAAGTTTCAAGGAACATACTGGTTTTATATGGTTTGCAGTTGGAAAGATCATGTTTTGATCAAACTTGGCAACTTTAACTTTTTCCATTCATGGACATGCTTCAGGTTTAATTAGTTATGGAAGTTCCATATAATTTTATCAGTTTATAAAAAGACTTAAAATGTTTTAATATTTAAAGTTTTCAACAGGAATGTACAAAAAGAACTTACTTCATTTACTGAAACTTTGCATCTGAAAACAGTGATGTTCCAAGTCCAAATACTTTCAACCTTGGTCTTCTCTCTATGCTATAATTCATTGTGAATTTTTTCTTCCGTCTATAGGTAAGCCACCACACTTTGGGTAATAAACACCTAAAGGTAAATCATCAACATGATATTAAGTACTTACCCCCAACATGAAACAGATTCCTCCTTGTACTGCTAATTTGCTAAGCTCTAATAGACTTCTCTATATGTTACTAGCTGCCAACAGAAATTAATTAGTTAGTTGGGCATAAAGAAGAATGTTTCCTAAATTAACATATATGATCAGTGTATTCTGCAGACTTTCTTGACTAAGACTACAAGAGTCTATCCTACTTACTTAAAAGTCAGTGTTTAAAAAAAAAAAAAAAAATCAAGACCTGAACTAAGTAGGGGTTGGGGTTTTTTTCTTAGAATATCATACACAGTAAAAACAAGTTAGTTCTGGTGAATTCTTACTATACAACTGAACTGGAATGAGAAATGCTGCCTGCCTTAAAGATGTTCTCTGCTTTCTAGGGCAGAAGGGACAGAAAGCAAAACATTGTTTTTCCATAAGGCAACTCAAACTTACATGAAGAAGTAGATATAATTTCTGTATATTATAGGCTACCATGGAGCCACATAAAGCATGACCTTATTCTTTTCCACCCTTGTCAAGTACCGGACACATTAACAAGAACACACTTTAACCAGAATTGTTTACAGATCCTTTCAAACATTAGAAATTCATACAGCTGACCTGGAGTCTCCAGAAAAATCATTTTCTCCCTATAGTATGTGTTTCAGATAGTCTTTATAATCCTGGTAGAAAACAAAAACATTTTCTTTCTCTTGTTATGTGCGTATATGTACATTAAGCAATCCCACTTGTGCCATCCTAGATATATAACTTTTTCTTCAGGTAGCTAGGTTACTTTTGGTTATGTCAGAAGATCTCAGCTAGTTCAGTAAGAAGGCCACATCCAGGTTACTGGGAGTTTCATTTTTGCTGAGGCTATATTACAGAAATATCCTATGTAAACAATGGAGAAAAGTTACTATATTCTCATCCTGTCTCTGCAACTGTAATTCAATGCTCTCTTTTCAGTAATTATGTTCACTTACTTTATTATCCTACCTTTGATCACTGGATCATTATGTCTTGAATGACTTCCGTTATTCCCGTTATATACTAGAGTGAGTGAACTGTGTTTATAGCGCACAATTTTTCTGTTCAGACTTGAGGCTGGAACAGCATGCAAGAAGTACCTGTATGCCTGGCCAGCCACTAGAGCCAAGAAGTACCAGTTGATGTTCTGGCAGCACCTCCTATTCTGCTGTTCTTTTTCAGCATGAGCACACTCTCACACAGCTGCAGCTGTAGGGTACCCCTGTTCCACAGTCACTGCTGTTCGAGTAAGACCCATGTGGGGAATTACAGCTGTAATAACATCGGTTTTTGTGCTTAAGGCATCACATAAGATGTGGTAACTCTCTGTAGGATGTGGTGTTACATGCACAGCTGCACTCAAGTCAGCTAAGACCCATAGGCACTTTGTCACTTTTTCACCTTTCTGTTCTCAAGGTGTTTGAGGGCTAAGGGCTAAGCTACTGTACATAAGTACACGTGTGCTATGCAGAAAAGACCAGATTCCTACAGGACTTTGTACCTATATTTGCTTAGCTGAGAATAAAGGGACATCTAAACATACTAAACATAGCAGAAAAGAGCAAAGCAGAAGTGTTACTTGTGATCTTAAAGATCGAAAAAACAGGAATGAGTCTTAACCATAGGTATTCTGCACAACTTTTACTTCAGAATGTTATCCTGTTGCAGAATAATTAGTAGAGCACAGGGATCTAACAGGCTAAAAACTAAATACTGCGACATACATATAGGTATTTAACAAAAAGCCTTTAAAATTTTGGACAAGTAAGAGATGCAGATTTGAC